CCAAAGGTCTGGATTCCTTCCCCAGGACCGGCGTCTCGTCCAGAGTCGTTTCTTCACGGCCCCGAGGCCCCGGTGAGGGCTCCCCGGAAGCCGAAGATAGCGAGAAACCTCCCATCGCGTTTTTGCTCACAGCGCGAGGGGGTCTGGGACTGCCCCCAGCTCGAGGGGGGCCGAGGCGCTCCAGGTGCTTCACGTCGGGGGGGCTCCTCTGTGGAAGGCGGCGCACCCGGGCCGCGAAGAAGACAGGCCGGCGGCCGGAGCACGGAGCCCAGCCCCCCGCGCGCTGCTTTGGTTGACCCAAGAAGGGGTCCAGCTGAAAGGGGGTGGTGCCTCCTCCTCCTCCTCCTCCTCCTCATCTGCCTCCTTCCTCCCTCCTCCTTCCTCCTCCTCTCCTCCTCCTCATTCTTCCTTCCTCTTCCTCCTCCTCCATCCTCTCCTCCTCATCCTCATCTCATAATCCTCATTCTCCTCCCTCCTCCTCTTCTTCTCTCCTCCTCCTCCGCCTCCTCCTCCTCCTCTCCTCCGCCTTCCTCCTCCTCCCTCCTCGGTTTGCAACAGTAGGGGGTCCCCAGGAAGGGGTGGTGACAACACGTGCGGCGAGTCGGGAGGATTCGGGGTTCCCCGCACGGTTTTTGGGGCTCGGGGTCCCCTCCGAGGACGTCCTCGGGCGACCCAGGGCCCTCCGAGTCCAAGGCCGTGCGGTGACGGACCGTGCGGTGAGGACTTGGGGGATTTCGAGGTCACCGCACGGTCTGTCACCGCGCCGTGACGGGACTCCAGAAACAGGTTTGGGCCAATTGTCACAACGTCGACCCTCAAAGGTCCGGACCCCTTCCCTGCACGGGAGGTTTTTCTACATTTCGGCCTCTGGGGGCCCCTGCCGGACCTCGGGCCCGTCAAAAAACGACTCAGGACGAAAAACCGGTCCCGGGGAGTGTATCGAGAACTCGGGTCGACGTATTCCGCCAGAGAGGTGCATTGCATTGTATTGCAGCTACTGCATGGCATGAGAAAAAACAGCAACACATCTGCGCCCCAGAATGCACTGCACGCCTCAAATCGATCGAAACCCCACACATATCTTGCACCGAATCGGTTGCACCACCCCCTTTTCGCTGGATCCCCTTCTGGGTCAACCAGAGCTGTGAAACAATCACGACGGGAGGTTTCTAGTGAGCTTCGGCCTCCTGGGGGGCCCTCACCGGGCCCCCGGGGCCGTCCAGAAAGAGCTCGGGAGGAAGCACCAGTCCTGGGGGAGCCGTCGAGACCTCTGGGGGTCGACGTCGTGAAAAAAACACGGTGGAGGGAGGAGGAGGAGGTGGAGGAGGAGGTAGGAGAGAGGATGGAGGAGGAGGAGGGTGGAGGGAGGAGGAGGAGGAGGAGGAGGTAAGGGGGAGGTAGGAGGGGAGGAGTGGAGGGGGAGGAGGTGGGAGGGATGGAGGAGGAGAAAGGATTGAGGAGGAGGAGGAGGAGGAGGAGGAGGAGGAGGAGGAGGAGAGGGAGGGGGAGGAGGAGGAGGAGGAGTGAGGAGGAGGTGGACGAGAGGAGGAGAGGAGGAGAAGGAGGAGGAGGAAGCTGAGGAGGGGGAGGAGGGGGCCAGCCTCGTCGCCCGCCAAGGAAGGACAGCCCTGGTGGGGGGGGGGGGAGGGGGGGGGGGGGCGCCACGGCTGTGCCGTCAGAGCCGACGAAGAGGGCTGCATGGGTCCGTCCGTGGCGGCGGCGGCGGCGGCGGCGGCGGCGGCGGCGCAGCACGGCCTGTCCTTGAGCGCCGACGTCTCGAAAAAATTGCAGAATCGCGAGAAATCACGGCGTCTGAGGCTGCGCCCCCCTTCTCCTCCCCCTTCTCTGCGTAATTCAAGCTTCGCGCGGCCCGCTTAGCTCCGACCGGAAGAGGTGCGCTCTCGACCCGCGAATCAAAACAAAACAAAAAAAACACGACTGGATACCCCTAGACCCCATCTTCCTGCGCCACCTTCCGAGCCAGATCGATCTGTCAGGGCCCTGGGGCCCGAAGCTAAGCGAAGACGCCCGGTTCGAAAAACCGGAGTCGGGCCGGGCGAAAGGGGGGATAGCAAAGGGGGGGATGGAGAATCAGCTCACGTAGCCGATTTTCCCGGCGCCTCCCGGCGCCGGATGCGGGCATGCATCGAGGAATGGGCCCCTCGGCGGGGCCGAAACCAGCTGCGTGCCGCAACTTTCGTACCCCCCCCTTTCCCTATCCCCCCCTTTCGCCTGGTCCGATTGAGACGCCAGGATCTCCAGGGTCGCCCTGTGGGACGGTCGCCGAGCACGTGCGGCGGGGTGTGCTCTGGGACGAGCCGCTGGGCGCGGCGCCGCGGCCCGCCGAGCGAGGAGCCGTGGCCCGGATGCCGCCGCGGGGGTGGCGCACGAGGGTCCCCAGTGGACGACGGTGCGCGGGCAGCAGATATAGGGGGACAACAAGTGGCATAGACATGAAAACTCGGAGGTCCGCGTGGATTTCTCGGATCCGCGCTGGACCCCCCTGCATGGCGCGCGGAGCGCGCCAGGGGCGGCGCTGGAGGCGCCGCCGGGGGGCCCCAGCGCCGATCCGAGAAATCCGCGCGTACCTCCGAATTGTTATGTTTATGTCACTTGTTGTTCCCCTAAGATAGCGTTGGACACCGCCATGGGGCCAGGAGGAGCGTTTGGGGTCGTCGCCGTCTTCGTCGTCGTCATCGCCGCCGTCGTCGTCGTCGTCGTCGATCTTGAGTGGGGTCGAAGAGTTCGGTCAGCAGGGCCGCTTGGAAGGCTGCCAACTCGTGTTCGTGAAGTGGAGGCGTCCCGAGGACGCCGCCATGCTGGAGGTAGGCGACCAGCTGCTTGGCCGGGGTGGGCAGACAAGAGGTGCCGCGCCCGAAGGTCTGAGCCCAGGGCCACTCGCAGCAGCGATAAAAGAGGCACACACACACACACACGGACACGGGCACGGACACGGACACGGACACGGACACGGACACGGACACGGACACGGACACGGACACGGACACGGACACGGACACGGACACACACACACACACATACACACACGCACGCACGCACGCACGCACGCACACACACACACACACACACGGACAAACACACACACACACACACACACACACACACACAAACACACACACACACACACACACACGCACGCACGCACGCACGCACGCACGCACACGCACACGCACGTACGCACGTACAAACGTACGCACGCGCGCACGCGCGCACACACGCACACACCCACCCAAGCACATACACACACACTAACACACACACTCACACGCATACGCATACATAAATACATAAATACATAAATACATACATGCATACAAACATACACACATACATACATACATACATACATACATACATACATACATACATACATACATACATGCATGCATGCATGCATGCATGCATACATACATACATACATATATACATACCCGCATACATGCATGCATACAGACAGACAGACAGGCAGTCATACAAAAATACATACATACATACATACATACATGCATACATACATACATACATACATGCATCCATACATCCATACATACATACATACGTACATACATATACACATACATACACACACACATACATGCCTACATACAGAAATGCATGAAACTATACAGACATACATGCATACATACATGCACCTGCACACATGCCTACATGCATAGCCATATACATACATACATACATACATACCTGCATGCACGCCTGCGTACATACACACATGTACATGCACACATACATACACATATATGCCTAGGTATATGCATACCTTCATTCATGCATACATATATATAGACACATACAGACATACGTACATAGCATACATAACATGTATAGCACACGTAGTCTGCATAGTATGCATGTCATACATTACACATATATCATGCATAACACACATAACATACGTGACACGCACATCATGCATACGTACCGATATCCACATATACAGACATGCATACGTACACACCTGTCTACATACAGATGTACATGCACCCATACACAATCATACATACATGCATGCATACAGCCGTACATGTTTACATGCATACATGAGTGGATAGTTATATATATATATATACGAGCAACCAATATATACACAACTACAGACATGCAGACAGACAGACAGACAGACAGACAGACAGAGATCTACATCTGTATGTGTATATAGATATATATTGACACACGGACACACTCACCAAAACACACACACACACACACACATAATGACACACACACAAAGCATAACAAACAAACATGAGGCGAAGGGGAGTAGGAGGAGGAGGAGGTGGAGGCCGAGAGCAACCGAGGGGGGGAGGGGGCCGAACGAGGGAGGGAGCGGAGGAGCTGCAACAGGAGAAACAAGAGTAGGAGGGTGTCCAGAAGCAGAACGGGGACGAGGCAGGAGGGGGGAGGAGGCCTCTCGACTGTGGACTATGTGCGTTGGTGCACTTCGATGGCACGCAAAACGCTTGCAGGCCCCTGCAGAAAGGGAGGAGGAGGGCGAGGTGGAGGAGCAGGGGGGGAAGCGGGAGGAGAAAGCGTTTTCACACTCGGACCCCAGGCAAACGCCTGCTGGTGAGGGGACGCATGGGACCTTGACGGAGCCGCGGGCTGCATCTAGGAGGAAAACAAACCTACCTCGCTTTTGACTACCCTCGCTTCCAAGAGATACCAAACGATGCCAAATTGCAGCCTGTACTGGTCAGGCCGCTTGACGAGGAGGCGCGTGGTATGGCTTGGTTTTGCCTGGAAGCGAAAGCGGGGGAGGTAATTCACGCTCTGAGCATCACACTGTGTGACCCCACGGCGAGACCGACCGCGACGAGAGGCGTGGAAGAGGAGTACCACGACGACGACGACCACGACGGCTACGACGACCGAAAAGGCTGAAATACCTGGATCCTCGGCCATCGACGTCCTCAAACCTCGAGCCTCGAAAGGCGGCAGCGACGACAGACCCCCGCCGCCGCGCGCGCGCGGAGGTGCGGCGCGGCCTCGGCGACGCGCTCCTCCAGCTCTTTTCTGCCGGCGGGGCCTCGGCCGAGGGCGCCGCGACCGACGGCGACGACGGCGGCGGCCGGGGCGACGACGGGCGGTGGCGGCAGCAGCGGCGCCAGCGATGAAGACGCGGCCGACGACGACGACGACGACGACGACGACGACGACGACGGCGGTGGTGGTGGCGGCGAGGGCCGCAGCGGCAGCGGCAGCGTTGGCGGCAACGGCGGCAGCGGCGGCAACGGCGCAAATGGCAGCTGCGGCCGCGCCGGCGAGAGGGGCAGGAAGCGGTTGGGGCAGGAAGGGGTTTGGGCATATGCTCTGCACCTCTCACGGCTTCGCCGCCACGGCTGGAGGCCGAAGGCCTCTCATGAGCTCCCCTCTCGGGACGAGCCCTTCATGACTTCGCCGCCTCGACTGAAGGACGAACGCCTGCTTCTCCTCCTCCTCCTTCTCCTCCTCCTCCTCCTCCTCCTCCTCCTCCCTCCCTCCCTCCTCCTCCTCCTCTCCTCCTCCTCCTCCTCCTCCTCCTCCTCCTCCTTCCTCCCTCCCCTCCCTCCCTCCCTCCTCCCTTCCCTCCCTCCCTCCCTCCCCTCCCTCACTCCCCCTCCCTCCCCCCCCCTCCCTCCCTCCCCATCCCCCAAGCCCAAGCTCAAGCCCATCAGATGTCACCTGCCTGCATCCCCGTGTTGTGCAGGCGCTTCGCGCACACGCGCTCAAGTTCTCGCTAGCTCGGACGCCAGGAGTCGGCGCGGAAGAGGGGCGGTGCCATGATAAGCCAGAGCTAAGTCATCTTGGGATCGTGAGAGATGTTACCTGGCATCTCCCAAGGACGCAATGTAGCTACTTCAACCGAACAACTTGAAGACAGTATAGAACTCGCCAAACAATTAATGCGTGCCTACGGGTGTTTACTCCTTGTAACGAAGAGGCGAGGACACAGATAGAAGATACAGGGCGAGTATGAGGGAGAGAAAGATGCATGAATCGGAATGGCGACAAGGCCGAGAGAGGAGAAGGATGAAGGAGCAGTAGGAAATTGCGAAAATGGTGATGGTGATGCCGATGCTGATGCTGATGCTGCTGATGATGATGATGGTGATGATACTGATGATGATGATGTTGATGATGATGATGATGATGATGATCATGATCATGCTGATGATGATGATGATGATGATGATGATGATGATGGTGATGATGATGACGATGCTGATGCTGATGCTGATGCTGATGCTGATGCTGATGTTGATGTTGATGCTGAGGATGATGATGATGCTGATGGTGATGATGATTATGATGAAAATGCTGATGATGATGATGATGGTGATGTTGATGATGATGATGATGATGACGATGATGATGATGATGATGATGATGATGATGATGATGATGATGATGCTGATGATGGATAGAAGGAGGCAGAAACATATACCAGTGGGGAGTCACAGCCGCCACCTGCCTTTGAGAACAGCCACTGCTGCCAACAAAACACCATCCATGTAAAACCAGTCCACTGTGGTTGGATTCTAAAGGTCAGACTGGGTCGTCTTGAAACTGTCGTTGGGCTCTTCGGAGGGGGGGGGCTCTTACAAAAGTGTTGGACCTCATGGGGCTCTCCTGGGCCGCGTCGCAACCTTCTTGGACTGTCTTGGGGCCTCTTGGGCCGTCTAGTGCCCTGGAGCCCCCCGTGACGCCTTCTCGGGCCGTCCTGGTGCCCTCTTGGGCTGTGTTGGGCCTCATAGAGGCCGTCTAGTGGCCAGCTGGGGCCTTCGCAGTGGCTGCGCGCGCTGTGTTGCGGGGATCTTGAAGACCCCCGTGGCCGTTCGGACGCCCCCAAAATCAAAAATCTGTAATACTACAAGCCATCGAAAGTATCCTGTAGGGGGCCACATGCGAACCCTACCCCTGCCCCCCCCCCCTCAGAAATCGTGGGGGGTAGAGGGGCACCCATCGGTCGGAAGAAGCAGGTAGAAACATGAAGTAGGAAGGCGTTGAAAGTAGATTGGGTTCCGTCCGCCCCCTGGACGGAAAAGGTGAACCCACTCCATCATTGAAGTAGGAAGGCGCTTATAAAGTACATTGGAATCTGGGAATCCAAGAATACCTACTTTCAACGACCGATGGGTAGGGTTCGCATGTGGCCCCCTATCCTGGGGAGGGACCGAGCCGTGTGCACGTGTGAATGCCGCAGCTGCGTGCTCCGCCCGTGGTGGAGCTCCCTACGGGGGGCGACGAAGCGCGTGCGGGGCGTGCGCCGAACTGGGCGCGGTGGCGCCATGCGAACCCTGCCGCTGGTGCCGTCGGCGGAGCTCCCTGTGGGGCCACGAAGCGTGAGAGGGGTGTGCCGAACTGGGCGCGGTGGCGCCATGCGAACACTGCCGCCGGGGCCTTCGGCGGAGCTCCATATTGGGCCACGAGACGTGTGAGGGGTGTGCCGAAGTGGGTGCGGTGGCGCCATGCGAATGCTGCCACTAGGGCATTCGGTGGAGCTCCCTACGGGGCCACGAAGCCTGTGAGGGATGTACCGAACTGAGTGGCGCCATGCGATCCCTGCAACTGGGGCCCTCGGTGGAGCTCCATATGGGGCCACGACACGTGTGAGAAACGTGTGAGGGATATGCAGACATGGATGGTGGGGGTGTATGGATGATGATGATGATGATGATGATGATGATGATGATGATGATGATGATGATGATGATGATGATGATGATGATGACGATGATGATGATGATGATGATGATGATGATGATGATGCTGACGATGATGATGATGATGATGATGATGATGATGATGATGATGATGATGATGATGATGATGATGATGGTGGTGGTGGTGGTGGTGATGATGATGATGATGCTGGTGATGATGCTGATGATGATGACGATGATGATGCTGATGATGCTGATGATGATGATGATGCTTATGATGATGATAATGGTGATTATGATGATGACGATGATGACGACGATGATTATGATGATGGTGGTGATGGTGGTGATGGTGATAGTGATGGTGATAATGATGGTGCTGATGATGAGGATGAGGATGATGATGTTGATGCTGATGTTGATGTTGATGTTGATGGTGATGGTGGTGATGGTGATGGCGATGGTGGTGATGGTGGTGATGGTGGTGATGGTGATGATGATGGTGATGGTGATGGTGCTGGTGATGATGATGATAATGACGGTGATGATGACGATGATGGTAATGATGGTGATGATGATGGTGATGATGGTGATGATGGTGATGATGATGATGACGATGATGATGATGATGATGATGATGATCCCGCTCTCCCAAGGGGGCCGCTGCCGACGTGCACACTCCCCCTGCTATGATGATGCTGATGATGATGATGATGATGATGATGATGATGATGATGATGATGATGATGATGATGATGATGATCTTATTTCATTCATTGTGCCAGAGACGCTATTTGCTGCCAGGGGGCGAGGGCGACTGTCTCGCCAGCAGACGGGCGCGTGAGACAGACTGGGCAGCAGCCAAACTCGAGAGACCAGTACTTGATGATGATGAGAGGGATGAGGAGGAGGAGGAGGAGGAGGAGGGAGGGAGGGAGGGAGGGAGGGAGGAGGGAGGAGGAGAAGCAGGAGGAGGAAGAGGAGGAGAAAGAGGAGGGAGGGAGGGAGGGAGGGAGGGAGGGAGGAGGGAGGAGGGGGAGCAGGAGGAGGAAGAGGAGGAGGAGGCGGAGGAGGAGGATGAGGAGGAGGAGAAGGAGGAGAGGGAGAGGGCAGCGGGAGGAAGGAGACGCAGGGCGCTGTCTCCTCAAAACGAGGACCCGACACCACAAGATGGCGGGAAAACATCCAGCCCATGGCTTCTGCCTCTCGGATGCCTCTGGAAGGTGGAGCGTAACGAACGCCACAGGCGCAACACTGGAGCGCTCATAGGCCTCGTTGAGATCCACTCGAGCCGTTTTCCGAACATCGTGGCCCGTCTTGGGACCACCCTGGGCCGCTTCGGGGAGACCATCCGGCCGCACCCGGACGCGACCTGGAGGCCCCAGAGGCAGGTGTGGCGCACGAGCCGCCCGACGGAGGGCCGACCCCCCGGGGGCCCCTGGCCCACGGCCACCGTGACATGCATGCACTGGCGACCATCACGAGTCAGGCTCGTTCCCACTCCTCCTCCTCCTCCTCCTCCTCCTCCTCCTCCTCCTCTTCCTCCTCCTCCTCCTCATCCTCCTCCTCCATTCCTTTCCCTTATAAACAACTTCTCCCTGTCGCACCCCGAGGCGAGTTTTAAGGGCGGGCCGGGCGTTTCGCCTGAGACTTCCTCACCATTAATGACCCTGAAGATTAAAAAGTGACAACAGTTTCACAGATGGAGGGAGGGTGGTTTTCAAAATGTGGCTCTCGCCTTAGCGCCGCGCACATTCGTCTAAAAATGTTGCAAGACCTTCACGGATTGAGGGTGGGTGGTTTTCAAAATGTGGATCTCGCCTCTGCGCCGCGCACATTCGATTTCAACATTTGCAAGAGCTTCACGGATCGAGGGCGGGTGGTTTTCAAAATGTGGCTCTCGCCTCTGCGCCGCGCACATTCGTCTTAAAACGTTGCACGAGCTTGACGGATTGAGGGCGGGTGGTTTTCAAAATGCGGCTCTCGCCTTAGCGCCGCGCACATTCGATTGAAAAATGCAAGAGCTTCACGGATCGAGGGCGGCTTATTTTCAATATGTGGCTCTCGCTATAGCGTCGCGCACATTCGGTTTAAACAGATGCAACAGTTATACGGATTCCCATGATCAGCGTACCAGAAATTCTGTTGTCGAAAGATTCACTATTATGAGGTGCAACAATTACATGGGTTCGCGGCGTTGAAGTCCTAGGAATGGCGTTCTGGCACGATTAAGGACCGTCAAGACGCAACAATCAAATGACCTGTGGCGTTGAAATCTCGAGAACACTGTCTGGCATGCTTCAGGGTCTTCACACGGTTGTCTTCCAACGAAGCAGTTCCCTCAGTGGAAATGAACCGTTGTAGGGGCCTGTGGAGAGGGAGC